GACTTTATACTTTTCCATGCTCTGATCATGCGCTCTCTACAGTTTAGGCATCTCCTCATCCCATCATTTTGAGCTAAAAGGTCAGATAAAGATGAATACTTATTTGAAAATTTGATTTATTCATTTGAAGTGTTCTTGGCACCTCCATTTCTTGTGTTTTAAGCCTCAACTTTTATAATATTATTTCTTTATTCTTAAATTCTAAAAGGGAAAAAATAGTACCAGTTAAATCAATTAGTAGATCATTCATTAAAAGAGAAAGAGCTCATATTCAGGCCAAAGTTGCTCAAATATCATTAAGACTATCTGGTCACTAAAGAAGAACCTGCTTTTTACAAGGAGTGATCAAAGTCACTCATGTTGACACCAACTTTATTTTCCACTTTGATAAAATTCTCCCACTTAAATATCTAACCACTTAAATATCTAACAGGACAATGCCTGCCGAATGTTCAAACAAGATGAAATCTAAGATGTACAACCTCATCTGAGATGCACTGAACTGCAGCCTTTTCCAGTTTGCGCCCTCTTCTGTGTGAATGCTGTGCTCCATTCTTCTGTTTCATTCACGCAATTTGGAGAAATTATTTCACAGAACTCAAAGCCAACAAACAGGTGGTAGGCATTCAAAGTCTGAGGAGAAAGAAAAGTATAGGAACAGAGTCAAGTACTCACCTTTTGTGCAAATCCAAATTCCAAAATTTACCAGCTTGCCAACAATTCTATAGTGTGTTTGGTTCTTTTCCTTGTCTAAAAATATCTATAATTGACTGTTGCTAAGGGACACCAGTGCACATTCAAATGGTAAGGATACTTACATGCTTATTGCATATGCTCAGTATGAGGTTTCTAACTGTTAACTTCTAACAGTATTTTTTTTCAAGTTTTAACACAGCACACATTCCTCAGGAAGGATTGCAAACATGCCAAGTTTGCAGTTCGAAAACAAAGCTCATTTTGAATTATCCAAGTGCAAAAGAAAAACTTTTTTGTTTTCAGTTAAAAACTATTTTTCAGGGACTTTATTTTAGAACTAGACAAAATGATTTAATCCCGATTAATCTAGCATTCCCAAAGAAGGTAGTCCTCCACTGGCTGTCCTTCAAGTCATGTGGAGTTCAACCCCGGAGGGAAATTTCGAACACTGTTTTCAAGAGCCTGCAATTAGAAGGATTTTAGAAGGAATCGAGCTTTTCTACCTTAAAATGAATATTGTAGAAGTTACAATTATCCTTGTACATGTAAGATATCCAGAATTATATCTGACTTGCCAGCACAAAAAAATGGGAGCCCACTTTTATTCTTGCCTCTGCAAGAGTAGAGAAGAAAAACTGCTAGATAAAATGCAATGTACAGTATACAGCTCTAGATGAGCAGTCTGGCCACGAGCTTGAGGGACTATTGAGCCCCATACATTTTGAAAGATAATTTCCTTGTCAAGCTACAACCTTCTGCTCAAAAAATCATATTGGAGCCTCACTTAAGAAGAAAACTCAAAAACTGGTCTCATCCTCTATACTTCCATGCCTCAGAGGAGTTCAAAAGAAATTTCTTCTCGAAACCACAAGAATTGAGACCCCCGTCTGGAAGGCTCCTTGGCTGGAACAGTTTTGGTTAGGTCATTCATTTTAAACCATCTTCTAAGTATCCTGGAATCTGGAGTGTCGCCCCAGTCCCAGAGGTGCCTGTACCCAATTGCCAGACACTCTTCATCCCCTGAAGTTCAGTGCCCAGAGCAGGGCTGGGCTCACTTATTTAAGTAGTCTTGGAGATTGATGACTTTGCAAGTCAGGCTGGCTAACGACCCCTGGCTGCTGCGCTGCTGTGCACTCGTTTTTCCTCCAGCTTGCCCGCCCCTCCCCAATTCCCCTTGGTCAGGTAAGGTTTCTTTTACACTTTGCCCACACTTCCCACACTTTCCTGTCTTGCTTACCCATAGCCACAAAGGAAAGAGTTCTATCATTCGATCTCTTTATTTACTTTTGAAAACTCAGCTAAAAGGAAAAACAAGTTTTGTGATTGATCTAAAAACAAAACAAGAGATAGCAAAATGTGGAAAATTTTTGAGATTTCTGCAGCTCCATTAGAAATGAATTGCAGAATAATATGCAATTCAGAGTCACAAAAGTGAACACAAGGTAAGGAGTGGGCCAGAATTTCTGCTTGCTTTATTCTCTAATTGTTTCCAAGAGATAAAATCCTGTGGGCCGAAGATGCAAACACGATGGGAAACTTATCAGAGCAACCTGTTTTCAGGAGACCCCTCCGTGTGCTAAGAGAGCTCTAGTCCACAATGGTTAAGAGCTGGGCTGCTACCCAAAAGGTTGACCCACCAGCGGTGCTGGGCGGGAGAAAGATGTGGCAGTCTGCTTCCATAAAGATTTACAGCCTTGGAAGCCCTATGGAGCAGTTCTACTCTGTCCTATAGGGTCACTCTGAGTCGGAATCGACTCCACGACAACGGGTTTGGTTTTGGGTCTGTTCGCTATTGGAATTAAGTGGAGGTCAATTCTAATCTGATTTTCAGACAGGCTGTCATTTTAATAGATGGCATCGGAGCTAGCGAAGCTGGACAGATGGCAAGTTGTGGTCATTGTCTCTGAACATTTGAAATGGTGAGGGAGAAACCCTGCAGGTTGCCCCTTTCATGACCGCACAGGTCTGTCTGCCCCCCGCGGCAAGGAGGCCTCTCGCCCTCATTTTCCCCAGAAGGCTGAGCCCCTCTGCGGGCCCAAGGCGCTCTAGACCCAGGGATTTCCGCTTCTAAAGCTGCGAACCTCAGCCGGGCACAGCCACGTGGCCTGCCCGCATTGTCTCCTGGGCTCTCGCCACCTCCTCGAGACAAGCACAGCCTTGAGACCTCCAGCCAGCCCAGAAAGGGGCGCTCCCTGAGTTAACGGTTTTTGCTGGGCGAGTCCTGACTGGAGAACTTGTAGGCGGGCTTCAGCCTGCGCAGGGCCCGCGGGACTTGGGCGCCTCCAAATATGCATCCGAACACTGACTTCGGCCTCTGCTTTGCTTTGCAACGTAAGGGGTGCGCATGAAACGGTTATTCTACCCCAACTCGTTCGGAAAAAGAAAAAGTATAGCATTGTACCGATGCACTTCACTTCCACAATGACTTCCCTTTCCAGTCACCAACTTTATTCCTACTGCTGACTCCAATTTCCCTGAATCTGCATAACACTCTCTTTGGGACTCTACCTTTTAACTTATTAGATAAACATGCTTAGAGTGCAAAGTGTCCGCGCAACTGGAATGCTTTGGGGCGCACGCTGCTTAACTGCCCACTCGACCTCCTAGGGAGGAGCAAAGGGAGCTCTCAAAGCGAGCAGCCCCGTGTGCCCAGACGTTGTTGAACGCCACTTCACGCTCTAAAGAGCTGACCTTCAGAGGTCACTAAGCAGGGTCTTATTCGTGGTTGGGGGTCGTGAATTGTCCATGGGGTGCTCCACTTTGGGCTGACGGCACAGGCGATTCGAGCGCCGCGAGAGCTCTGCGCTGCCCCTGTCCGGTTCTGCTCCCTTTCCTCAGGAATAGGAGTGCCTTTGACAGGAGAATGAACTTCTACCTCCTTCTAGCACCTTCGGAGGCCTGTCCTTGGAGTGTCGGAAAATGTTAGTTAGATTGGGTGTCTGTGGAAAGAAAAGGAAGGCCCAGAAGCTTCTCGGAGAGGGGTGAGAGAGCAGTTCGGGAAGCAGATCTGCAGCCCCCGCGGCGCGGCCACGTCTTCAGAAACGCCCACAACCTCAAGGCCAGGCCGCGGCGGTCTGGCCCCTGGGACTCTAGGGGCCCCTGTACCTGCCCATCGGGTGGACTCCGCGGTTGCCAGTCTTCTTGCCACTCCCCCCGCCCCAGCAATCCCAAACCGGCCCCATAGTATTATAAGGAACTAGGGCGAGATGAGATATCACCCAAGTAGAAGTTGCTGTCGCCGCTGCTGTCACAGCCGCTCCGGGAGGGGCCGCCAGCGCGGCCCGGACGGTGCCCTCCGGCCGCTTCCCCGGCTGCGCCCGGGTGCGGGGGCGCCGCCCGCGCGCTCCGGAGCGGAAGGAAATCGCCCCGCGCCCGCGGGAGGAGGGCGGCGGGGAGGGAATGGGGGAGGGAGGCAAAGAGGCGGGCTGAGGGGCCAGGTCGTTTTTGAATGGTTTGGGAGGACGACCCTGAGGAAGGGGATGGGGGCGGGGAGGGGGGCTGGAAAGCGGAAACTTTCCTATAAAACTTCGAAAAGTCCCTCCTCCTCTCGTCAGGCCAATGACACTGCTGCCCCCAAATTTTCCGCCTGCACGGAGGTATAAGAGCCTCCAAGCCTGCCGCTCTCGTCCAACTCCCAGGCACCTCGCGGGCTCGCCGGCACCGACAGCGTTTCCAGGAGGCCGAGCGGGGGTGTGCGTGCGGCCGTTGGGCGCCTTCTTTTTGGACCTCGGGGCCATCCACACCGTCCCCTCCCCCGCCCGCCTCCCTCCCC